AGCACACACACACACACCAACACACACACACACACACACACACACACACACACACACACACACACACACACACACACACACACACACACAAACCCCTGTGTTGAGAAAACCAACACAAACAAACAAAGTTTCATTGTTTTTTTTTTAAAGGATTTTAACCTTTATTTATTTTGAAGATTTATTTATTAGTTGTTTATGTATTCAGTGTTCTGCCTGCATGTATGCCTGCAGGTCAGAAGAGAGCACCCATTACAGATGGTTGTGAGCCACCATGTGGTTGCTGGGAATTGAACTCAGGACCTCTAGAAGAGCAGCCAGTGCTCTTAACCTCTGAGCTATCTCTCCAGCCCAGTTTCCTTATTTTTGAGATGGGGGGTCTCCCTTTTATAATCCAGGTTGACCTCTGCTTGGAGTAGTTGGGATTACAATTCTACCTGTCATATAGTTTAAAAAATTATACATGTATTTATTTCAGATGGGGGTTCATGTGCCCCAGCATGCTTGCGGAGGTGAGAGGACAGATTACAGACATGAATTCTCTCCTCCCACCATGGGGGCTCCTAGGAGCAAATTTAGATTGTCAGCAAGCGCTTTTACCCACTGACCATTTTCGTGGCCCATAGTTTATAATTACTTTATCTATTATACATACATACATATAGTCTTGATTCAAAGAGTCAAGTGGGAGGCTAGAGAGACGGCTTAGCAGTTAAGAGTACATACTGCTCTTGTAGATGAACTGGGTTTGGTTACCATCACCCATGTGAGGCAGCTCACAACTGCTTGTAACTCCAGTTCCAAGGGATCCAACCCCTTCTTCTGGCCTCTGGGGTCCCTGCCTACATATGGTGCACATAAATGAATACAGACTGACATGCATATACATTTTTTAAATCAAATTGTACTATAAAACTTGTTGGGATAAACAGCAGTTGCCTGACTCCTCCTAATTTCTTGCTTTTCACTTCACTATTGATTTATTTATTGACACAGGATGGCCTGGTATAGCCCAAGCTGGCCTTGGACTTATGATCCTCCTGCCTCTGCCTCCTGAGGACTGAATACCACCACATCCAGATTTAATTCTTTGGGTCCTTATACCTCTAAAATATATACTTATATTTTACCCTTTTATTTTACTTTAGGCTGTCTCTTGACATCTCACTAACAAAGATTAGACTCTAGCAGTCTTTTTACACACACAAGCTCCCACACCCTCATTTGCACAATATAGTTACAATTTTGGTCAACTCCATATCTAGTGTTCATACAGGCTGTTGTGGACTGAGTTATGTGGTCCACTAGGATTGTTTTTCCTTTACTAGCTTCTCATTTTCTCAGGTTAATAATGATCTCATCCTTTACTTTTCTTTCTTCTCCCTCTCCCTCCCTTCTCTCTTTCTTTTTGGTTTTTTGAGACAGGGTTTCTTTGTGTAGCCCTGACTATCCTGACACTTGCTCTGTAGACCAGGCTGGCATCAAAATCAAAGAGAACCACCTGCCTCTGCCTCCCAAGTGCTGGGATTGAAGGTGCCACCACCACAAGCAGCAGCAGCTTTAATTTGCTTCATGGTGTCTCTTCCAGGACTTCTAGATTGTTCCAGTTAGATCTGTGAACTCTTGGCCTGTGGTGAAGCTGCTCTCTAGGCATCTTTTTTTTTTTCATTTATTTTCTCTCTTGGCCTCTTTACCGTCAGCCATGGCATCTCTTCAGCTTTTTCTTGTGTTGGGAGTCTGGTCTCTTGGACTTCATATTTTCCTCTCTTGGCTTCTCCTTCACTGTTTTCAGAGTACTTTGCCTTTTGGGAGCAGAATACAGGAAGCAAAGCCTTAGAGCTGCTGGAATACTTGACTGATGGACACAGGTTGGCTGGGTTTTTGGAAGCAATTTTCCATTGTCTTTTAGCTTCCATTGTTGTTGGTAAGTCTGATGTTATTCTGAGCTTAAGCTTTGGCTATTTTCTTTCTGTGTCTCTGGAAGTTTCTAGAACTTTGTTTTGTTCCCAGTGTTCTGAAATTTCATGTAATGTATTTTGGTATATGTCTATTCCCACTCATTTTTGCTGTCACTGATTGAAACCTCTAGTGGAAATTCACGTCCTTCTGTTTTGGGATAGTGGGTTGTTTATTTCATTTCTTCCCATCTGTTTAAAAACTTTTTTTTCTCTTTCTGTGCTTATTTGGATGTACATGTTCTGAACCTGGTCCTTTCATTTTTTTTATCTCTCATATTTTTCATCTCTTATTCTTTTGTTCCACTGTCTTGCAAATGTATTTTATCTTTTAGTTTTCTATTGAATTTGTAATTCCTGGTCTCTGCTCCACCAGTTCTTGTTTTTAACGTCACTTTGAGTGTGTGTGTACACATGCACGTGCAGGTGCTGTAGGATGACTTGTAGGCGTTGGTTCTCCACTACAACAGGGTTCCAGCCCAGGCTTTTGGACTTGGCAGCAGGTGGCCTTGCCGAGCCCTTGGTGAAGATTTCTTTTTTAAAGCTTTCTACTCTTATCATGATCTCTTTCCTCCCAGGACACTTTCCCTTTTCTTTTGCCTCTTTAGATGCTGAATCATCCTTCCTTACTGTCTTACAGATGAGTGAGATGTTCTCTGGGTAAGGGTGGGGCTGGTCAGTTTTAGACTTCACTGTTTTGTGGTTGGGTTCAGTTGTTACCTTGTGTGCCTCTAGTATTCCTAGATTCCCCAGGAAGGTGTTTCTAGTAACCCTCTCACTGGGTACAGTGTAGAGAAGTGAGGTGGAGAGATCTGTGAGCTCAGTTCTGTGAGCTCAGTTGCATGTCTCCCAGCTTATCTCGATTGAGAGAACAAAGCCTGTATTTTACAAGAATCAGGAAGGAATTATAGAGTGGTTGCCAAGGATGTAACGATACCATTTCAGCCAGGTCCTCTAGGTCTGTTGTGTAAACCAGATTGTTTCTTGTCGTCTTGCCAGTTTGAGATTGACTTGCTTGTATCTATTTTGGGCATTACCAGATGTCTGGATACGTTCACACTTACAGTCTTTCTTTCCTTGTTCTCTTTATCTTAACCTTGGTTTGTTTGGAATTTTTGTAATCCTAACTACCCAGAAGGCTGAAGAATTGAAAATTTGAGACAGCTTTAGCAACAAGACCCTGTCTAGGGCCATAAAAAAGATACACACATATTAACAGTTTTTTTTTTTTTTTTTTTAACTTTTTTGGTTTTTTGAGACAGGGTTTCTTTGTATAGCCCTGGCTGTCCTAGAATTAGCTCTGTAGACCAGGCTGGCCTCAAACTCACAGAGATCCATCTGGCTCTGCCTTCCAAGTGCTCTGATTAAAGTCTTGCCCCACCACTGTCCAGCCAACAATTGCTTTTGAGGGTGTGGGAATTGGAGCTCACATGTAGGACTTGTGGGTATTCCTCAAAAGACTTAGCAAAAGCCAGCCATGATTGCACACACCTTTAGTCCCAGCACTTGGGAGGCAGAGGCAGGCCGATCTCTGTAAATTCAAGGCCAGCCTGGTCTACATAGTGAGTTCCCAGAACAGCTAGAGCTATGTAGACAGACCTTGTCTCAAACAAACAAACAAATGAATAAATAGGTTTAGCAGAGCCTTATCTAGCTGAAAAGAAATGAGAGTGAGGGCTGGAGAGATGGCTCAGCAGGTAAGAGCACTTGCTACTCTTTCAGAGGACCTGGGTTCAATTCCCAGCACCCACATAGCAGCTCACAACTGTCTCTAACTCCAGTTCTAGGAGATCTGAAACCCTCATACCAATGTACATACAATAAAATTTTTTTTTAGGGATTGCATTAACCTTTTATGCTTTCTCTTTTTTAGGTCCCTGGTTTGAAATGTATTTAGCTGCTCGAGACTCCATTGTTTTAAACTTTAATCCATTTATGGCATTCAATCCAGACCCAAAGTCTGAGTATAATGACCAGCTCACCCGGACAACCAACATGACTGTTTCAGCTGTCCGGTTTCTGAAGACACTTCGAGCTGGCCTTCTAGAGCCAGAAGTGTTCCACTTGAATCCTGCCAAGAGTGATACCAATGCCTTCAAAAGAGTCATACGCTTTGTTCCTTCCTCTCTGTCCTGGTATGGAGCCTACCTGGTCAATGCATATCCCCTGGATATGTCCCAGTATTTTCGGCTTTTCAATTCAACTCGTATACCCAAACCCAGCCGTGACGAACTCTTTACTGATGCCAAGGCCAGACACCTCCTGGTCCTAAGAAAAGGAAATTTCTATGTCTTTGATGTCCTCGATCAAGATGGGAACATCGTGAATCCCTCAGAAATTCAGGCACATCTAAATTACATTCTCTCCGACAGCAGCCCTGTGCCCGAGTTCCCCCTGGCATATCTGACCAGTGAGAACCGAGATGTCTGGGCAGAGCTCAGGCAGAAGCTGGTGCATAGTGGCAATGAGGAAGCCCTGAGGAAAGTGGACTCTGCTGTTTTCTGCCTCTGCCTAGATGACTTCCCAATGAAGGACATTGTCCACTTGTCCCACACCATGCTGCATGGTGATGGCACAAACCGCTGGTTTGATAAGTCCTTTAACCTCATTGTAGCCAAGGATGGCACTGCCGCAGTCCACTTTGAGCATTCGTGGGGGGATGGTGTAGCGGTGCTTAGGTTTTTCAACGAGGTGTTCAGAGACAGCACTCAGACTCCTGCCATCACTCCCCAGAGCCAGCCAGCCACTACCAACTCCTCTGTGTCTGTGCAGAAACTCAGCTTTAAGCTGAGCGATGCTTTAAAGGCTGGCATCACCACCGCTAAGGAAAAGTTTGATGCCACCATGAAAACCCTCACCATTGACTCCATTCAGTTTCAGAGAGGTGGCAAGGAATTCTTGAAGAAACAGAAGCTGAGCCCTGATGCGGTGGCCCAGCTGGCCTTCCAGATGGCTTTTCTGCGACAGTATGACCAGACAGTGGCTACCTATGAATCCTGCAGCACTGCCGCCTTCAAGCACGGCCGCACTGAGACGGTCCGACCCGCCTCCATCTTCACTAAGAGATGTTCTGAGGCATTTGTCAAGGAGCCCTCCAAGCACAGTGTGGACGAGCTTCAGCACATGATGGCCGAGTGCTCCAAATACCATGGCCAGCTGACCAAAGAAGCAGCGATGGGTGAGACATGGGTGGGGAGAACACCATGGGGCTTGTTGCCCTCTGTAATATTCCCCCCACATCTGATCCCTGCCCATCGCTTGGTTTTCTTTTCCTACCCTAGCCATGTCTGACCAGCCAGAGCAGCCTCCAGGGATCAGAATCTAAGTAGATATGGGGAGCTTCTTCCCCGTTTCAGAGATCATTGGTTTTGCTGCTGTTTTGTCTTTGCCCTGCCCCTTATTGGCTATGGACAGACACACTGTGGCAGTTTAGGGTTTCTAAGCCTGTCCCTCTTACTCTTACTTCACCTGAGCTGCAGCGTTGGCTCTCTGCAAATAGGTCATCTCAGAAGCTCATCACAAATTTTTTAAGATTTATTTATTTATAATGTATGTGAGTGCTCTGTCTGCATGTATGCCTGCATGCCAGAAGATGGCATCAGACCCCATTATTAATGGTTGTGAGATACCATGTGGTTGCTGGGAGTTGAACACAGTACCCCTGGAAGAGCAGTCAGTGCTCTTAACTGCTAAGCCATCTCTCCAGGCCCACTCATCATAATTTTTAAGGTCATTTACTCCAACTCTGTGATAGGACCTGGACCTCATAGCCCAGTCCTGTTATGTAGCACTTAATGAAGGAGCCCTGGAACTAAGAGATACCCAAGACATCAAGTTATTGCTTCTCCATTTTGAAGTTAGGAAGCTAAGCCACTAGTCCAGTGTTAGACAACAAAGCTGAGATTGAAACCCTGGGTAGATGCTTTTTCCACTTTATTCCACCCAGTTAGTCTTTTACACATGAACTTGGGAGTTTTACCCCTAGTGTGTATGTGTGTGTGTGTGTGTGTGTGTGTGTGTGTGTGTGTGTGTTGAGG